CTTGGGTGAACCCAAATGGGCAGCTCAGGGAGTGTACGATCAGTAGCCGGCGAGGAATCTAACAATTCCGGCCGATTAAATTGCCTTTCAGGTTGCTCGGTCGAACGCTCCAAGCCTTTTCACAACTTGTGGATAGGTTGCCCACACTCGTCACAAATTGTTTCACTAATACCAGGTCTCCTGCTGCCGGATTCCCATATCAGCCGGAATTACTTACGATGGTTATCAAGGGCAGCGGCCATTTCCTGCTCTGAAGCACAAACAGACTACCAGGATTCGCATTCACTCTTTGGGCTAGCACGGAATATCCTCCATAGCTTTTTGCGAGTTTCATGATGCTCGCTGCCAGCAGGAATATGCCGGTGAGCAACGATAAGATCCAGATACTGCGAAGAGACCCAATGTTCATGTTGGCCATTAGACATACCACATGACGATTTTCCTGCTGCTAGTTGGATCTGGTGAATTTGATACCAGTGAGCTTCAATTGCATCCAGTGAGCGTTTATCCAACTCGCATGACAGCGATGCGACTTACTTAAGCTTGACCCAATATGGCTTCGACGCCTAAAAGTAAACTTAGCACTTTTTTTCAATATCCTGCACAAAAATGTCCACATCCCTAGCATTGATCTATCACTCATGAAACCAAATGGATACAATACACACAATAGTGAAAATTCTGTGATGGTAAAAAGGTCAAAGACAAACATATCAGCAAACTTTTTCCTAAATCGGTACTCCCGTATTTGGAACAAATTGCCGACCGATATTCGTACTATCACATATGAGTATAACTTTCGTAGAAAGCTTGACGAATATTTTACAGTCAGCAATGTGATTATGCTCCTGCGCTGCCCTACAACTATTCAACAAACGTATGAACAAGGTCCAGACAACATATAACTGAACGTTGCAATTGACTGTATCAGTCAGATCAACAAACACCCGTTGATTCCCTGCTTACCCTTCTCTTTTATTGCCCACTCCGGATCTGCCTGCCCGAAAGCTCACCGCTGATTAGTGGCTCCCCTGATACATCGATGAGTTGGAGGTCCAGGCTTCTGTTATCCTCTTCCTCCCATCTTGGCTCACTATACTTCCCCTTGATTTTACTTGGCTCCACTGCAACCATGTGTCAGTTGAATCACTGGCAACTTGGTTAGCTGGACTCCCAAGTCCGGTTAACTATCTCTCCAATCGTAACTTCACTTCCGTTTCACCCGCTGGCACACTTACCATTCGTTTGTGAAAGCACTGACGCTTTGGTAGGTAAAGCACCCGGATCCTTTCTTTACATCTTCAACCCACCTTGCTCCCCAACACTTAGCTTCGGTTTTCACTTGACCATATCTTGCTGGTGAATAAACCGACACATTGTCAACATCAATATGTTTGCCACTCAGGACTACTGTAACCTCGTAAACATATCACTGGCGTTCTGTTGGACCAATTCCCTGCATAATCAAACTCCTAGCGCAGTTAGCAAAACTACTAAAGTTTCGGCATTCTTGTTCACAGCCCACAACCCACACATTATAAGTAATCCGAAATCCGTATTGCGCCTCCTAATTGTAAACAACATCTGCAATACAATAACAAGGTAGTTGCTTAAATATTTCCCTTTTTCACTGTGCAGTAATGTGGACTTATTTTTCCCTGTTAGCCGGACCCATACTGCTGTTCCTTATGCTGTGTCCAGAAATTTGGTTGCGAGACCCTCCCCACACTATATTATTCTCGATTCCACACATGTACATAATTCCCTAGGAAGTATTTGACCTCCATCGCACTAATACTTACTAATACTTGCTATTTCCCTTCTATTTACGTTGATCCGGACCACGACTCGTTCAACGGTACGATGAGATACTTGCTACCGAAGAAAGTTGGAGCTGCATAAGAATAAATTACAACTTGAATCCAATCCCACTCAATATGAATCTCCTCGCATCCGATAAACAATTTCAGCTTCAGAGAAAACTTGTACATAATGATCGGTCCAGGGTCTCAGGAACGTGTCTCACTTTCTGGGAAATATACCTAGTATTATTATTATTATTAATACTTTATTAGGCATTCCGAACAGCTGGCTTCGCCAGTTGGCTGGAGTCAATACGGGCACAACGTCGTCGTGGGTGTCCGCCAAAGACCATATGCAGGTCATCACATACAAGTGCATGGTCGGTGTCTACACAAATGCTCCGAATTGAGCGACAGTTCTGGGCGCAGACCCCTATCAGTAAGTTACCGCAATTCGATCGATTTGCGTCCATAGCTGGTTTGAGGCTGGTTGGCGTCAAGTCACCCTCCGGCGGTTGCTGTGCCGGAAATTAGTGCATGCAAGAAATAAGCGAGCTTCCTCACACAAATGAAGTAACCGCTTAACGTTATCATTAAGGGAGCTTACATCATGTTTGCCACCCAAATGCAGCTCATATGTGAATACGTTTCCAACTTGAGTGTTCAGATCCCCAGCCAGCACAACAGTGTCCAAACTACTTCTGTGGCTAAGGAGCTCGTTCAGCTGACGATGCAAGTCGTGCTTCACCGATTCATAGCGACAGTTTGTCAGTGCCTAGGCAGAGATCATGAATAGACTCCAGTTAGTCACACGCGAATTCGAAACTTTGGACGAGCCAGCCAATTGGACTGTACGCATCCGGCTACGGATTGGAATCCAATCAACCAGAGTAGCTTTAGCCCGAGGACCCAGTGAAATACCAACACCAACTTGGCCGTTGCTCGAAGCTACATCGTCACCAAATAGGCGCAATAAGAAAGTACTGCTAGTGTCACCTGAAGGGGATGGCAGATTGAGCACAGAGCTCGAGTCTTGCAGGCGGGTCTCCGATAAGCAGCAGATATCGATCGAATGGGTCTCTAATGTTCAGACAACTGCTGTCTGTTGACCGATCTGAAGCAATGTGCGAAGATTGAGGCATGCTAATTTGAAGGAGGATCGAGGGCACCAAATGGAAGTCGATGAACTGGACTTCACCACTTGCTTGGACTTGGGCCTTTTGACAGAGCAGCAATGCCGCTCCGTGTTCACATGTGAGTTGAAACTAAAAGACTGGTGAATATTGAAGCAAAGTGGGGGAAGGTCGCGAATTGTGGAGTTAAAACCAGGGGGATAAATGTAAGGCTGGAACGCGACGATAAGGGTGAAAATGCGTAAGAGCTGGAATAAGAAGATGGGACATCTTGAGCAGTAGCAACCTAACCCCTATCCACATTGCTCAATGCAGCAGATAGGGCACCGTTGATTACCCTCTGCAATGGCCAGAGCATCAAGAATTTGTTTGAAGAGAATTTTGTGTATTGCGTGGGCAGAATGCTGTCTGGTTGTCCTGGCCTAGACAGGAGAACGAATGGGGTTCTCAACCAAAGCCTTTGGTTAAAAGCCTGACACCAAAGCAGCGGGTTTGTCGTTAAGGTGCATGGAGTCCGTTTTAAGGAATAAGGAGTTCCTCTCATTCCAACCCACAACCTGGAGGACCAGGATGTTGAGTTTGTCTGTCCTCTAACTATGGACCAATCTGGTATGAGTGGCGCTGAACGTGCAAATATGCCCCACCCAGCAAAGCTCAATGGGTCACTGAGACACACAAAACATCGCACCACGGAAAGGTCAAACCTCATCGAGATCGCTGCACTATATTAGATGAACCATTACATATGAACATTATCTCGAATGTGTTTAAGAGATTTCTATGTCGGTCACAATTATCAATCCATTTTTCGCCTCCTGTGTGTGAACATTAGGAGGAGAGACCAGTTTACCAACATCCCACTTGCGCCAAATGATCTAACATGCCCGAAATATATGCTTTTCAAGTATTCTCATCAGAGCTATACATTTATGAGGCAAAGGAATATTCCTCGCACATTTACATACTCCTGACTCAAATGAAAATTCTTTGAAAATCCCATTTGCTGTCATTTGTTAGGCATTTACGCTGCATTTAGTTTATACTACCTACACTTCAGGGAGTTCACCGGTGTAAACCTGATTTTGTGAAATTTTGTGAAATTCACCATAACAATCCTATGGGACCTTTTAAACAATCACACATTTCTCGGTGTTAAATCATTATTTCATTTATCCAACTATGTGAACATCTTTCAGTCGTGGAATCTTCGCGCACGCCGGATTTTCCAAACTAACTTACATTGATCTTTGCAGCCACCGGTCGTTCACATTCTTACTTACTACACGTGCCCTTTTACACACTTATCCTTTAAGACACGCTAACAAGCCAACATCTTCTCTCGCTCATCTGTTCCCAATTTATGCAGCTCATACTAACAAAGTTTGATTATAGGCACTGTAATGTTTCGCGGCATTCCTGAACTTTTCACGCAAATGGAGGTTTATGGATGCTACTAATATCCTACTGACATCTAACAACACACCTGAAACTTGATAACCAACATTACCTTGCGAGCTTAACATCCGGCACTCAACCACTCTTAATGCTCTGAGCACTTAACTTTGTTGCATATATTAGTGTAAATTCCACTAGTATGGCATATCCATATTTGCGAGCAGATATGCAGGTAAACTTGTAATCGTCACACCGTGCACAGCGTAATGGATGTAATTTTGTCTACTAAGATTTGGTTGAACCTAATTCGTTTGCTCTATTAAACGATCGTTTCGCTATCAAATACATATTTACTGAAACGCAACGAAACACGCGCAGCAAGCATCATTAAACATGAGGTCTTACAAAACGACAGCCCACATTATCTGTCGTCCATACGTCAAAATAGCGAGGTTCCGCATCTTGACAATGAAATAAGCTCGAAGAAAGTAGAAGCGACGATTAAAATGCACAATAATAATAATAAATAAGCGTTTGCCCATTTATTAACCATTAAAAGAAACGAAACTTTAGATGCATATGTATTGGTCAGAGTTTGCAAGCTTTGCCTTCATGTAATCTCCGGCATTAAGAGACAAAAGTGTAAGGAAGATCAACAAAAGATGCACTGTCATTTGCTGCCGCATGGATAGCTGTCGTCAGTGAGCAGAAGTTGCGGTATGTCCTTATTCTTGGATTCAATTTCCCCTTTGTACTCTATGCATGCAAGCACGTTGCATTCCTCGTCATAAAGCTTGTAGCTAGTTTCGCCTTCCATCTGAAATTGGAAATGAGTGGTTTATTTGCCGATGTTGTAAACATATCTCAAAAGGATCATCCCTAGGCAAGCAATACATTTGGCTCCTCATCATTAAATAAACAGTCGAATGCAGCAACCGGTACAAGTAAATACATACCGAGACATCCGGTACGAGGAAATTCCTCTTATACGTGTATACACCTCCTTGTTGCAGCGGACATCCAGGATCTATGAAGTCGCAGATATCGCTAATGTCTGCAACTTCGCGTAAGCAACTCTTCGACTGTGAGTCGCTGAGGCAAAGTTTCGCCTTCCCAGAACGAACGATTCTTTCTGAGCACAAACAATGAACAAAAGTAATCATTTAAAGCGAGAGTTGGTGCATCCAAATTCAAGGGCAACACTTCAGATCAGGTACATAACATTCGGAATGGTAGCTAGCTGTGCGGTCGCGGCATTGTTTCGACTTACTTCAGTGTTATACAAGATACTTCATTGAAAACCAGAAATGTGAACATCTCAAGAACATTAAATCGGAGCCAAGTGGCATGACATAAATGTTGCACATTTTTCAACAATTGATATCATTACGGTTTTATCCAAATAGGAAATTGTTGGCATAAATGTGCAAATATATTGAAAGAATTTCTTACTTGCTTGGAAAGTGATTTGAACATTTACAAATGTGTCTCCAGCAGCGACGCAAGATACTTGGCTGCAATTCGACACAGATGCGCCGATAAGCGTGTTGTCAGCAGCTGTAATACGCAGAAGATTGCGCAAGAGGGAAATGAGAAAAATGTTAGTATTTTAATGGGTTGAATTTCATGCTATATTTGGTGAGAAAAATCCATCGAGACCATTAATCGCATATCTGTAAATATGCGAATATCTAAAACCGGGTATTAACTCCGGATAAGTAAACATGCATAGAGTGGAGTGCATTAAACTAGTGGACTCACAGCAGTCACTGTAAAAGTTATTCGCATGCAAAACAGCAAACTGAGCAGTGAGTAGGACAAAAATCACTGCAAAATTTGTGGTCTGCATAATCGTTGGGATCTACCCTACGCAAGTTAGGAACGTCAATTTTATACTTATCCTCATCTCATTGTTTATCTGCAAATGTGTCGAAAACTGTATCAGTAGCCACGATCGACCCATGCTACGTGTCCGCTTAATGGTTCACCATGAAGAATATGCTTGTCACGCGTATTATGTGTTGTGAAATCTGCGCCGTTGACTTTAATAACAATATTGTGTGACATATTATCAATGTGAACATTGATTACTGATCAGCACAATCAATTTAATTGTATTTGTTGGCATAAACAGCAAAGTGAAATATTTCGCATGCATTCGTATAGTGTCCTTGAAATAGATTTCCCTGTTCAGTTTCTACACAGTGTGCCAATAGCCCAGAAGCAGCTGACGTCAGTCCGTGGATGGTGCAGGATTTCGAGGCTCAACCGAGGTATCCAGAGAGGAGGATTAAGGAATTTGTTTTATGCATATGATGAACGTCATCTCTAAAATCTACATTTAAATACTTCATTTATTTCAACGATTATAGCTCATGCAAAATAATATTGATTGGAAAAAATGTACGGCATAATCTTCAGGTTATTATCAATTTTTGGGAATATTACCATTTACCAGCAATGGTCGGAATGTGGAGTAGGTTCCGTTGTCATTATTTTGCCTTCACCAATGATGTTAAATTGGAATTGGATATTGTACATGCATTGCGACAACAATTGTTCTGTTTAGCTAATGGCATACCAATATGGTTTTTTCCGTGCGGCACAAAGTTCGGGCAACACATTAGTTCAATGTGGTCCTCGTGTATTCAGAAATTAACGGTTATTATTTATTCATGTATAAATTTAGGCGCTTTGTAAATATTTGCAACGGCATTCTCCAAATGGTGCATATGTATTTTGATATTCTGTTACCATTTGCTGTTGAGCCAAAATCAGAAACCTACACTGCTCCATGTTTTAGCGAAATAAGAAATTTACTCTGAGAGACCAAATACATCACATTTCCGACTAAGTTTGAAGGCTCAATATTCACCTAAGTCACTCTCACTCTGCAACACTCCAGGGGTTTTCCACGCTCAACGCTGTCACCACGAAATCCTGATACGCAATGCTGGGCGTATAAATTAATCCATTGAAAGATATCTCATGCGACTAGCAAATATACACCAGCATTTTGTGCTGTTCTTCCATTGATATCCTTTCTCACTCCAACCGCATTAACATGCGATAGAACACTCAGCGTTAAATATAGAATTACAGCCTATACATGTTCAATGTATAAAATTTCCAGCAGATTTGGATATACAGGTTAAGTTAATAAAACCTAAATTGTTACTGTGTCATGTACTGGAATCAGAAGACAATTGCGAATGTGAAGTGTTATGCATACACCTCTGAGTAGAGCTACCGGTCTGCTATGGCTTTATGAGACAATAGAATCTCAGCAATGTTTTCATTGTCGCAGCACTTCGACTACGTTTAACCGAAGTCTTTTATTCTGATGATACTGTATAATGCCTCAATGCTTCCATCGACGAATTCTAAGGTGTCACACAGGTTCTATTCTTCAGTTCCATAATTTTAGCTAACCACTTTGCCAAAGAAAGAGAATGGGAGACACTCAGATGTAGTATTGTTAATGGAAATGATCCTTCTTCATGTAAATTGCGTAAACCATATAATATGGGAACAATGGCACCAAGGGGACGAATTCTGCTAAATCTTATGCATCCGATCACCCCTCTTATTTTTCTGAGAGTTAGTTATAGCCTTCGCAGTCGTCAAGTGTTCATCCTTCTCATTTAAGGCTTGTACGAACTTTGAGCTATTCTCATGTAATACACATATCTGATAGTTGTATCCATATTTGTACATAAAAACATCCCCTTCATTTTTGTCTAGACGCGAGAGTGTATTCCCCTTTCTTTCCGTGGTGTCTAAGGCTTGTCTGAATGCTCTCTTGTCAACAAATGCCTGGCTGCCATTCATGGTTAATGTGCTGATAACTGGATTGGACCAGGTTGGTCTCAATTTTTCTAAACTTATTTCGCATGTATACACCTATTTCATTAACTGTACTTAAAGCATATTAAAATTCACTTCTAGATCAAGCTGTGTGCACGCCGATTTAAGGCAGTCGTAATTTATAACTAGGGATAGTACTTCTATTGTATTTCCAGCCAGCCGCCATGAGAGAAGCCTGTGAACCAACCGCTAAGGTTTGACCGGAAATTTTATTCTGAACTTTACTTAGTTGACCTGCCTGTTCAGTTTTAGCACCTCTACCTGCTGTCATTTTACTGACACTCGCTGCATATACGATGTTATACTTCCTCATCAGTTACGTAATCCAAAGCTAACGGTGCGTTCCGTCACAATCCTGTCAAGTTTGCTTTGCTGCGTCCGCTCTTTATTCCCCTTCTTTAATGCCTAACGCTTGCTCAGAGCACAAAGAGAGAACGCTACGGAGGTTCCCCATGACCGATGCAGTTTGTCAGAAACCGAATCTGGAAGTTTGCCTCCGAATACTGCGCACAGAATTGAATAAATTTATTAAGCTCATTGTGTGCAATGGTATAATTGGTTTGTTTAAACGTTGGATAATTCCCGATTAGCCATACTTTTGCATACCACGGCATAGCAGACCAGCTGGTTTTCGGTGATTTTCAGCAGGCCAAATACGACACATTTGCAAAGGCAAGATAAGAAAGTTTGGAATGTGTAGACAGAAAATGCAAGTGTCAAAATGCTCATGCTATTAGGTATTCTTCACTTGCGATAGCTGACCAGGTTTAGGCTGAGACTATGCCAAATTGTTTATGTACACATATTTTGGGGTTGTTGGGGAGAATAACGCCCACTTTCGTCAATTAAATGATCGTGCAGTTGATAGGTTTCATAAGTTGACACCACAAATTTGTTGAAACCAATACTACGCAAATCACCTACTATTATTTGCAGAAGCTGTCATTCCCCTGTAAGCCATGTACTCTGCCCCATGTTACAGTACAATACTGTTGCAGAAACTTGTTCAACCAACAAAATTTGAAGCAGCAGTACCGGCTTCATTCCAGATGTCCGTATGAAAGTATAACCAGGATATGCGAGATTTCATCCTGAAAATTAGGACACTTGATAATCCCAGGTATTTCTGCGACCAGTTGCATAGTACACTTCGAGATCGTATGGTCGCTGTTGTCATTCATTCTTACATGCAACGGAAATTATTAGTGACACTTGTCTGACTTTGCAAGCTGTCAGGTCGTTCTACTAGCAATGTTCAGATGTCAGCAGCCATGAGAGAAGATCCTATCATGTATCTTACCTCCGGCATTAATTTGCATTAGAGTAATCGGAAACCACAGCATTTTGTAATGCATGCTGCTCACAAACTTACACACAAAAAGATTATTACCTCTTTTGATAACCGTTGGAAAAACTGTGAAACTTGTGAATATAAACATTGCGACGGACTGCAATTTTTGCAATTCCAAGTGTTGTAGGTTCGGAAAGTGTGACCCTCTTCAATCTGTTGAACAAATACATCTTGGGTATAAAAAGCTCCAAGAGAACGGCGTCCCTAAGTCGTCGTGCAGTCCAGTGCTCTTCCAGTTTGTTCGTCTGATCAGTATTCCACCAGTATCAAACAATTTGTTGTAAATGGGTTATCACAACATGGATTCAACATCGGTACCCACAGTGTAGAGTGGTTTATTCATAACTCACATGTTGAAAGTATAGTTCCCGAAACCCAACTCAGATTAACTACTATCTTTGTTATAGAAATCAGTAGACATCCGATTTCAAACGGTCAGTCTAATCGGATCAACAGTACATTTGTTGTCATGGAATCTGGCCCATCCATCAGGGGCATGAAGATCATGACAGGTTTACATATTCCGTTTTCGATGTTTGCTGACACAATGGTGACATGTAATTTGTTCGCTTGTCACAAAATGACTTAATAATGCAGGTGACATACGTGTGGAACTCATCACGCTTTATATACAAGGCACTCATGTGTTCGTGTTAGGACGAACCATAACATTCGGTATTTGGAAGCCTGTCATTAAATCACCAGGAAACATTGATTTGAGAGCAA